CACTGAAGATGTGGCGTCCCCCCCACCCCCACCCCGCCCGAAGCTGGCTCAGTGCTGGGGACTCAGTAGATGATAATGGTTGGTGTGGAAGTCCTAGGCCAGGGGCTGTTCTAAGCCAGTGGTCCCCAGCATTTCTGACACCAGGGACCCGTTTCATGGAAGACAGTTTTTCCACAAAACAGGCCTTTTTGATTCAAGCATACTACGTTTATCATGCTGCTGCTGATCTGATAGGAGGCTGAGCTCAGGTGATAATTAATGCAAGCGATGGGGAACGGCAGCGGCCGTAAATACAGATGAAGCTTCGCTGACTTGGCGACCACTCACCTCCTGCTGTGTGGTCTGGTTTCTAACAGGCCAAGGGTGGGTACTTGACCATGATCCTGGGGTGGAGGACCTCTGTCCTAAGCTATTCACACATAGTCACTCAGTCCTTACAACGACCAGCCAAACTAGTTGGCACTATTGGGATCCTTGTTTTATTTATTTACCATGTGCGTGCATGGCTTACAGGAGTGAAAGCATCGAGTTCTCACCACTGGACTACCAGGGAACCCCCGGGATCCCTGTTTAATAGACAAGAAACAGAGGCACTGGAGGTGCCGCTGGATCAAGTTCAAGAGTTCCGAAGTGAAGAAACCAGGATGCAGTCTGCTCTTCACCTTTTTCTCAGAAGTGAAAATTTACAATGTTAGTTTCTGCTGTCCAGCAAAGTGAATCAATTATACACATGTTGCTGTTGCTCAGTTGCCTAGTCGTGCCTGAGCCTTTGCGACCGCATTCTTTTCCATTATGGCTTATCGCAGGGTAGTGGACACGGTTCCCTGGACTGTACAGCAGGGCCTGGCTGTCCATCCATTCTGTACCTAATAGTCTGTGTCTGCCAATCTCCGCCATCCCTCCCCTCCCCACCCCCTCGGGAACCGCAGATCTGTTCTGTCTGTAAGTCTGTTTCTCTTTTGTAGATAAGTTCATTTGTGCCATATTTTAGATTCCACGAATGAGTGACATCATGTGGTATTTGTCTTTGTGACTCACTTCACTCTGATAATTGCTGGGTCTATCTGTGTAGTCATGAACAGCACTAATTCTTACGGCTGTGTGCTCTTCACAAAACTTGCAAATCCATCTCTCTCTGAAAAGCGGGGCCCGTATTTGCTGCTTACACCTGATAGATCTCAGGGTGATGAGCAGTGCGCTGGGTTATCCCCTTGCACTGGTTCTCTTTGTCTTCCTGTCTTTGTCTTCCTGTCCCCAGCAGGTGAGCCGGGTACGCTTGGCAGGGCCTGCAGTTAAAGCTGTCTTTGGCAATAGCCTGAACCAGGAGTCACCCGAAGGCAGGTGGGCTGAGTTTAACCTTCCAGATATTTTATTTGGCCCACACACCATTTTTAGAAAATTTAGAATTAGTTGTCAATACCAACTACGGGGACAGAAAACAGACCAGTGGTTTGCAGGGTCTGGGGAAGGCCGGGCAAAGGCGCATTCAGGGGCAGAGGTCACGGCTGTGTGACTATATGCAGCAGTTAAAGCTCACGGGATTGTATGCTAGAAAGAGTGAAGTTACTGCATGCAAAGTTAATCGTCAGTAAAACTGGGTCTTCGGGATGAATTCCCAGACAGTCGGGGTTTCTGACCTGGGATATGGCCAGCACTGGGCCCTCTCTTCTTGCTGTCCTGACTGCTGGTGGGCTTGTGCCCTGACACCACTCAATTCCTCGTTTTTCCGGAGCATTTGAGGGCTTTTTGTAGCCCAGGGTCTAGCCGAGTGGCTAGAGTGGAGTTACAGAAATCTTTTTCTACTCCTTTTTTTTTTAAAAAAAACAAGAATAGATAAAAACTAGGGAGCTGAGAAGCAGGGAAAAGAGAGGCAAAGCAGTGAAGTGAGAAGAAAAGGGCTTGATTTTATTCTCTGCTCCCACATAGGCCTGGCAGAGCCAGAGTCGACAGGTGGAGTGCTAGGCAGGGTGGACCGATCCAGGCCTTCGGTACAGACAGAAATGTGCCCCTTTCTATGGTTGGTTTCCTAATTCTTTCAGGTTAGAAGATCTTGGGTATACTAGCTAGATACAAAACTTACTTGGTTGGGAACAGCAAGCACACTTAGAGCTGTCTCCTGCTTTCCTCATTTGGGGGATCCCAAAAGGGTAATATGGGCTTCACTTGTGGCTCAGCTGGTTAAGAATCCACCTCCAATGTGGGAGACCTGGGTTCTATCCCTGGGTTGGGAAGATCCCCCGGAGAAGGGAAAGGCTACCCATTCCAGTATTCTCGCCTGAAGAATTCCACGGACTGTACAGTCCACGGGGTCACAAAGAGTCAGACGTGACTGAGCGACTTTCACTTCATCAGGGGGTAATATGCGAGGTGGGGGTGCAGCACTGCAGGTGGGAGGGAAAGAGACAGAAGAAAGAGTGCCTGTTGCTTCCAGCAACCCCGACACGCCCTCCCCCACCCCGGCCCCATTTCCCTGGCATGCTCTTCCAGGCATTTTCACACCAATCATTTCCAACTCTTCACTCCTGGAGGGCCAGAGTCTCCAGTGGAGGCAGTAAGAAACCATCTCCATATTCAGTGTAAGGATTCCTGCTAATTAATCCACTCCTGGTGGCTGGGCGAGTCCTGCTGTCCTTGTCCTTTGAGGTCTCTGACTGCTCTCTGAAGTATCTTAGGGAACTAGCCTGAATGCACCACATCCCCAATCCACCCTTCCATCCATCCGTCCATCCATCCTTCCTTCCTTCCACTCCACAGATATGTCCTGAGACTTGATATGTGCCTGACATCATTCTCCATGTACGATCACAGGAGTGAATATGCCTGACATCATTCTACGTGTGGGATCACAGGAGTGAATATGACAAAAATCCCGCTTTAAGGATTTACATTCTTGTCGGGGGAGTGAAATTTATGTTGGATTGCAATAATTGCTCTGGTGAAAAACAAAGCTGCAAAGGATATAGCTGGGGACGGTGTTGCTATTTAAAATGGGTCTTCAGGGAAGGATTTTCTTGTAGCTGTCTGAGGCAAGTATGTTATAAACAAGAAAACAGGAAATTCTGGCCCCATCCAGGGCTTGCTCCACCTGGTCTACTGTCTCTCACTCAGCCTGACCTGTCACTCGTACTCCTGTGAGCAAAACTGAGGCCACTGTCCAGCCATCACATCTGGTACCTCTGCAGTTCACACTGACGTGGCATCCTTCATGCCGGATGGTATGAAGGTATCTGGCTATGCTGAGTACCCAGGGCCTGCTGGGACTTTAGCTGAGTGGGGGAGGAGAACAGATATTGTGGTTTAAGTTTAGCTGACAGCATGCAATGAAAGGTCAAGAACGAAGGAAGGGGGAAAGAGGAGCTGGGAGAGAGAGGCTGCTGCACTGTAATATCAGAATGAAGATGGATAATTTCAGTATCTGCAAAAAGTCTGGACTGGGCAGAGCTGAGGGCAATCCCTGCACTGAGGGGCAGGGAGATGAAGGGGAGGAAGCAGGGAGCCTTGTCTTGTTCCATCCTTCAGCTCTAGCCTGTGCGACAACACTCTAAAGGGCAGTAGCTTATCGTACGTGATGACTGGAACCCAGCCATGGCTTGAAAATCCCTGACCTACTATGGAAACTCTTCTCCTGAACAGAATAAATCGTAAGTCTTATGATTGCATGTGGAATTGTCTGAGTGAGGTCAAAAAGACAAAAGATGATTACAGTGAACTTGAATCTCTTGAAGGTGTTCGATATTCTGAAAGGTTGGTGCTCAAAAACAACAAATTCTGCTCTCAAAATCTTGTAGTGAAAGTTAACCACATCTTCCACAGTTGGTGATGGGTTTTTCCCCTTCATGTGGGAATAAGAAATTAAGGCTATTCAGCGGTAAGGTTAGAGGTGAAACACACAAAATAAATCATTAAGTGCAACTTTTCTCATATTACCTCCTCTGGAACCAAGTCAGTGATGAACAGCTAAGGTCAAATAGTTTATCTGCAAACCACTGAACTCAAACCACAGCAAACCCCCAAGCTCATAAAATGTGAAGTATACTGAATACTATAAAGTAACTCAAAGATAGGAATTGGATATAAGTATCTTCTCTGCAAAAGATGTCTCTGCTCAATAGACTGTAAGTATCTGGAATAATTTTACAGTTAAAACGGAGTCGAGGAGGAAGACTGACTTGCTTGAACCCAAGTGCCAGAGAGAAGAGAGTCTGGGTTTTAACCCGCTTGTCTCCCAATTCCAAGTTCACAATGTCCAGTAGCCAACACTGAACTCCTGGAAAGTACAGCCTCTTACGAGATCAACATCACACCAGAAAGGTGGCATCCCCGGGGGTTGGCAGCTAAGACATGTGGGTGGAGAAGAACCTAGATCTATCAGTCACTGAAACACTGTTTTATCTGTGCTTCTTTTTGATAATAGCATAAGAAGCTCAAGATTCAAGCCAAATGACCAGAAAAACCTCATGAAAGTAACAGAACATTTAGAGAAGCTGTCACGTGGGATCTTATGGGAACACAGCTGGTGATGTGGCTGCTACCACTCCTGCTTCTCAAATACCGGCTTCTGCTGTAACCAAGAACTGTGAAACCTCACTGAAACAGCCCCCTTGGAGCCTGAACATTTTTTGTTATTGGGGGAAAAAAAAAAGACAAGGTGATAAGGGAGGACCTACAGGATATTTAGTATGAAAATCCTCCTTCGAAAGTGACTTCCCTGGTGGTCCAGTGGCTGAGACGCCACTCACAATGCAGGGGCCCCAGTTCCATCCCTGGTCAGGGAACTAGATCCTGCATGTCACAACTAAGAGTTCATATGCCACAGGTCCCATATGCAGCAACGAAGACCTGGCAGAGCCAAATAAATGAATTAAAACCAGAGCAGGCTGGAATTGTGACAGAAGGGAAATTCAATGTGTGTGTGTGTGGACTGCTTATACCTCTGAGAGGAGAAGTTAAATGATGCCCAGTCACTGAAGGCAACTCAAACTTGGGAAATAACACTGCAATTCTGAGATTCAAGTTTTATTTACAAGTAAATGAAGACTGTCCCCTGTAGCCACTCATCTGGGGTGAGAAGACCAATGTAAGGTAGTAGCTGCTGGTCCACAGTGGAAAGTCAGAGGAGTCCATGCCACTGTTTCTCTAAATGATGATTTTGTAATTAAAACAAACAAAAAAACAAAACACAAGACATGATTTCTTCATGTTCCATCTGTGAACGAAGTCAAAATAAAAATGACTTTTCGAAGCTCTAGTCTGTCATCACGTGTGAGGTGACAGCCCCACTCCCCGAGAGCGGCAGTCTCTGAGCAGAAGACTTAATACTCATCGAGAGTATCTGCCCGAGGGATGGACAGGCCTCGGTCCTTCAGGGCCTGCACTTTCAGCTTCTCCGCTTCCAGCTTGGCCTGCTGTTCCGCCCTCTGCTCTTCTAAGATTTCTTCAATAGACACTTGCTGGAGAGGTGTGTCACTCTCCTTTTCTAAGTCCTACAAAACAAGCGGGTTTGGGAAACTTCACCTCATGACCAAGAAGAGAAAACATCACGGATCTAAAGGCAAACGATTCCTGTATCGGGCTTGAGTTACCTTCCGCGCTCGTGCCAGGGCACAGACACCTGTGCACAGGTAACCCTGTACGAAGAAAGGGCTGGCGACGCCCCGCAGAGCACACGGCTGTGACCTACAGGAATCCGTGTTGGTGTGCGTAACAAGGCTTCAGTCTGTGCAAAGTCAAGCCTATGTGAGTTAAGAACTACTTTTCTTATAGCTACTTCCCCAACCCCAGGGAATCCAAGAGAGAAGTCGCTGAGGTCAAGGTAGCTTAGAATAAATTTTGTACTTACACACAGTCCAAGTCAGCCTAACTTCTGGGGCTGTTCTTTTTTTTGCTAAGAAGTAAAAAACATTGGTTCAAAGTAGCACCCCTGACCTCCAGCCTCCAAGCCACATCAACTGGCCCTCTGTTAACACAGGACTTCTTTCTCTCCCATGACAACTAGTCTTCCGGAGAAAACCTCAGCAAACCAGTTGGGTTAGTAAATCATTTTGGCCCCAACATTCTTCCCAAATATTGGCTACATTTCCCACTTAATATGATAAAATATGCTAATATATTTATTTTTGAACACCGTAAACATCTGATAACCAACTTGATAATGCAGAATTTTGCTATAAAATTATCTATCTACTGACTGTTTCTTCTCCTTAAGAAGTTTATCTAGGTATCACTTGGTGTTTCTGTAACATGGAAAGCCTCTACGGACAGGGTACTCACATTTCTCATCCTCTGACTTTTACTTACAAAATCTGGGACGGCATCAACACAAACGCCACCTCTCCAGGCGTTCCAGCCTACCACTGGATACTAATCTGCAGAGGTGGCCAAGGCCTCGGAAGCCACAGCGGTGACACCGCAGATGGAGGACTCTCCCAGGGAGGTTAGAGCGAAAGCCACATAAATTCCATAAGCAAGCCCTGCCCTCAAAACTTAGCTGCATCCAGCAAAATATATATTATCAAGTGTGATCTTCCCTCACAGCCCACGGGCGGCAGAAGGGAAGATAATGTTCTTGGCTCCGTGTCTTACCTCCTGGACTTTCCAATGTTATGTGCTGAGCTATTTGTGTGGTTATGACAATGCTGTTACCCAACAGTCAGCTTATTACTTAAGGCTGTGTGTCTCATTATCCTTGAGGTAGAAGCCAGGGACTTCACAAACAACAGTGCGTCTACAGAATGCAAGTGGTTTCTAGTTTTGAGTTTTCCTAGAATTGGTACACAACGTCTTCAAACAGACCATCGATTCACAGAACTGTGGAAGCAGTCCCGAACCATATTTCTTTAGTAATACCACTATAAAAAATTCTGCAGAATCTGAACCGTTAACATACAAAAAAGAAGAGTACTCTTCTCCACGAAAGGGCTCCCAGGAAACAATGACACTTCAAGAATAAACACAAATTCTTCTCTTCACTACACCTACACAGGGCTTTGTCTATGCCAATGTAACTGGCACAGAAAGCGCATCTGTGCTCTCTTCTCCTCTACAATTGAAGCAGAGTGTGCGTGTGGTATTGTGACTTGAATCTTTCCCCTGATAGCAAAGTAATAAATTTCCTCTCTAAAAGTTATATTCAGAAAAGTAAAAAAGAAAGAAAAAATAATCACCCACCATCCTACCATCCAGATTGGCCAGTCCCTCTGAATGTACAGTCAGACAACGATCCTGACCCCCACATCCCAGGATACATACCATGGTGCTTTACATCAACCACACACACAAAAAAACCAGCTACAGACCAAGCAGCTTCTCTCCAAAGACTTCTGTAAACCTGACTTAACATGTGGCTAGGGACTGGGAAATGGTACTGAAAACTTTAAAGATAAAATCAAGGTTTGATTTTCCTGGAAAACGCAATAATCAGAAGCACCAGGATCAAGTCAAAGATATTAAATAAAGCATTTTTAAAGTAAATGTTTCATGTAAACTGTGAAATCAAGTTTTATCTTCTTTAAAAATGTCTGAGCAGTTCTAATATATATTTTGGAGGAGCAGTTTTCTAATGGTTCACACACACACACTCACACCTACAGAAACACCACTTGAGAGGATTTAACTTTTCACTTGCCAGCTGGCTTTCCTGACAGATAATAGGAACCTCCTCCTTGACTGGGAGCTAAGAAGCCAAGTGAAATTGAGTCCATTCTGAGAAAATTAAGAAAGGCTTCTTCTACAGTCACTCTTTGCACCTGCCCCCTTTAAAAACACAGATATCATACTGTACATGCCATGTGCCTTTCCCCCAAACCCAATTGCCTTTATGTCATGAAAGACCATGTGTAACCAACTGTTTAAATTACTACAAAGTATTCCAGTGTTAGTAAGCCATATTTCATTGGACTATTCTTCTCTCGCTAGGTATCAGGCTTCAATTTTCTGCTATTAAAGATATGAGAATAATCTACTAATGAACACATTTGTGTGGGACAGTGTTTTATATATATAATGGCTGCACCACTCAGCTCCTGGGATCTTAGTTCCCTGACCAGGGATTGAACCCTGGTCTCTGTGGGTGAGCGTATGGAGTCCTAACCATTGGACTGCCAAGAAACTCGTAGGATAGTATTCTTTATGATACCAGGGAAAAATCAATGATATTTTACTGTTAATGGGATCAAAATCTTTAATATGCCAGGAGGCACTGAAACAAAGTTGACTCTTCTTTGGAGCTCTCCTTTTATAACATCCCTTTCTTAAGCTAATTTGGTGGTGTCCTGTGAGAAGCTGGGTCAAGGCGAAAACACTTTTTCCTTCTTGAAAAGACAAAAAGAAACCTAACTGGCATGATTATCAAGAGCTACAGCAGCTTAACAGTTTTCACTTACTATTTCTCCTAGCAGGACCACATTTTCTCCTCTGACCACAAAAATCCCTCGAGGAATATCACCGTATTTCTTGCCCACGTGAATGCGTTCCACAGTCTGATGCAGCACTAAGTTAGCTACAAGTGTACCGGGAAGAAACAAAGACATTTAGTGCAAATTACTCTACAGGTAAAAGCCCACAACTCAGTCAGTTACCCTGACTACAAACGACTAGCTGAACATGATTTTCAAACTTTCTAATTCTGGAAAAGGCTAAAATTTCAAACCATCTTGTCCTACTTCATTCAGACACACCACTCGGAGATTTTTAAACAACTGCAAATAGAGTACTTGGGATTATGTTGCACTAATACAAGAAGGATGATGGAAATAAATGAAGAAAATTAAATTCCTTATGAGTTCATTGCTGATATCAACATGACTATAAGAAAATATGATAGGGCACTTGGAAAACTCTAAAGTCCAAAGAACTGCAGAAATAAGCTTTTTTTCTTTTAGAAGGAAACATTTTTTCCTACTTTGTGCAGGTATGTATGTGTGATGATTTACCAAAGATTTAACTTTGTTTCGGTACGGATGATTCATTTAATCCAATGTAGGTATTCATGGATTATGATACAACAGTAATCTGTTTTTTTCCCCTTTGTCAGATGACTATAATTTGGTAATCTGAGAGTAACCTTAGTATTCATTACTTTCCCCTCATGTAGTCTGATGAATTTGACTTAAAGTTTAGAACCACAACCTGTGCAGAGTAATTGCTTTTCTTCTTTCAGTTGGTTACTGTTGTCGTCTTTGAAGAAACAGTACTATCATCTGTGATTCTTATAAATATTTCAATTATGTTGTTCTTCCTTAGGCCCAAAGCCACTGACCTAGCTAATGTCCAGCAAATGTTGACATGAACTGGAAGTTCCTCAAGACAGGAGCAAATATAAGGTCTCTTTAGAAAACACAAGAGACAGAATCAAGATTAAGACCTTGAGTCTGATGTATCCCAAAGTATAAAATCCTGAGCTTAATGTTGGGGGTCCCTAAAAAGCTTCAGGAAAGGCCTCTGACCCACTTCTCATTGGACAGGGAGGGATTACCTTCAGGGCAGGAACTGCTTTGAAGAGTAGTCGCACCCAAGCCAATGTACAAATGAGCAGCCTTTTCAGTGGACTGAGTGTATTTCTATCATCTGGCTCCCTCTAATGGGGAAAATAAAAAATAGTCCAAAACACTGTAATCACATGTTCTAGTAGTGAAAACCAGTTTTAGAAATAAAACATAAGCTTGTAAACACAAGCTTTCAAACCACCTAATTGTAATTTAGAAAACAATGATGTAGTGACTTAAAACAGTATTCATCATGCCAGGTACATGAAAAAAGTTGCAGATAAATAAACTTCAATACGAAACAGCACAAAAATACAGTGGGCAGCTCTTATCATCCAGAGTATGGGATGGAAAGAGCCATCATGACTCTTATCATCATGGACTTATGATAAGTCCATGAGTAATACATACATACCAAATTGATCAATGCTTCTCAAAAAGCCTATAAGTGTCCTTCCATCTCGAAGCAGGACCAAGTGCTTTTCTGGGGAGAGGAAAAGAGATCTTTAAAAAATGAACTGTTAGCTTCAGCCCGTTTACAGGGAAACAAAAACAGAGTTAATAGCAGATTAACCTTTACCACTTCCTCTTACAGCGCATTTAAGGCAGAGTTCATTGAGAAACCAGAGGGATGACCACAGGAGCTGGGGATTAGCTTAGATGAGAAGATGGGTGGTGAGAAGCATCTAAGAGGGGCAGCAGCGCGGGGAAGGTCTGCACACGCAGTCAGGGGGCTCAACGGACTGGCGCCAGGTGCTGGTGCTTGACAGCTAAACCCTGTCAGCATCACATCAGTTTCTATACCTGCCAATCTGGACATTTAATTTAGATGGGTCTTTATGATCTTAATTTTCCAAAATTATTTTCCCCTCAACTTAGACAGAGAGTCTCTATTTTACACTCTGGAATCAGAGACAGTTTTAAATAAAAACAGTACCAAAGACATGTGAAATGAGGATGCTGATAATAAAACCAGAGCAAAAATTCAACAGAATGTATTGAGGGCTATGTGCTGTTCTGGGGCCTAGACATATAGTAGACAATAAGACTCAGAGTTACCAACCTCATGAACTTATAAGCCTGGTGGAGAAAAGCAAACACACTTTAAAAAATGACCTATGGTGATTAGTCTAGCAGAATAACAACAAGATAGCAGAATAATATGAGAAAGGGAGGGGAAGAAGCTATAGAAGAGAGGGTGGTGGGGACTTCCCAGGTAGTCCAGTGGCTAAGACTCCTAACTCCCAATGTAGGGGGCCCAGGAACAAGATCTCATATGCCACAACTAAGAGTGTGCATGCTGCGACTAAAGATACCGTGTGCTGCAACGAAGACCTGGTGTAGCCAAGTAAATAAATAAACACAGGGGAAGAAAAAAAAAAAGAGAAGGTGGCTAGGAAAACCTTTCTGAAGAGGTGACTCTGAGCCAACACTGAAGAATGACAGTAAGCCAGTCACTAGAATAGCTAGTAAAAAATCACTTATTCGTCTTTAATGCCATGCATAAAGTACTTTCTACATGCAGAACTTGTACCATAAAGAACGCTGAGCACCAAAGAACTGATGCAAGACTCTGAAGAGTCCCTTAGGCAGCAAGGACATCAAACCAGTCAATCCTAAAGGAAATCAACCCTGAATATTCATTGGAAGGACTGATGCTGAAGCGCTGATACTTTGGCCACCTGATGCAAAGAGCCGACTCAATGGAAAAGACCCTGATGCTGGGAAAGACTGAGGGCAAGAGGAGAAGGGGGCAAGAGAGGATGAGATGGTTGGATGGCATTATCAACACAATGGACATGAGTTTGAGCAAACTCTGGGAGACAGTGAAAGACAGGGGAGCCTGGCGTGTTATAGTCCATGGGGTTGTAATGAGTTGGTCAGCACTGAGTGACTGAGCAACAACAAGATGCAGAACAGTGCAATAAGACAGTGAGTCTTTCCGAAGGAATTTATAGGCTTTTTTTGGGCTATAATTAAGTACCACAAGAGGGCAAATCTTAATTACATGAGAGTGAGAGAAACTGTATCTAGCTGGAGGTATCTGAGTTGGACCTTAAAGTGAAAGTGAGATGGATGAAACTGGAGCCCATCATATAGAGTGAAGTAAGCCAGAAAGATAAAGACCAATACAGTATACTAACGCATATATATGGAATTTAGAAAGATGGTAACGATAACCCTATATGTAAAACAGAAAAAGAAACACAGATGTACAGAACAGAATTTTGGACTCTGTGGGAGAAGGCGAGGGTGGGATGTTTTGAGAGAACAGCATCGAAACATGTTTATTATCTAGGGTGAAACAGATCACCAGCCCAGGCTGGATGCATGAGACAAGTGCTTGGGCCTGGTACACTGGGAAGACCCAGAGGAATCGGGTGGAGAGGAAGGTGGCAGGGGGGATCGGGATGGGGAATACATGTAAATCCATGGCTGATTCATGTCAATGTATGAGAAAAACCACTACAATATTGTAAAGTAATTAGCCTCCAACTAATAAATGGGGAAAAAAAAGTGAAAGTGAAGTTGCTCAGTCGTGTCCAACTCTTGGCGACCTCATGGACTGTAGCTTACCAGACTCCTCTGTCCATGGGATTTTCCAGGCAAGAGTACTGGAGTGGGCTGCCATTGCCTTCTCCAATGGACCTTAAAAGGTAGATAATTTTTGGCCATGGGAAGAGTGACAGGGTCTGGGAACAGGAGGGAAATCTATAATTTAGGCAGAAGAAAAGGGAGCTGTGTATCCAAATGTGTGGCTAAAAGTTGAGGGTGTGAAGGGAATAGGAGATGAAGTCAGAAAAATACTGGGAGCAGGCTGAGTTTGGATGTGACTTCATGGGGAACAAGACAACTCTGAAGATTCAACTGGCAGAAAAGAGAGAATGGTTTTGAGGCTATGACTAGAGTCCGAGACATGAAGAAAAGACCTGAACCAGGGCAGAGATGAGAAGGGAAAGGATGAGAGGATCAAGACACTGCAGTTATAAGGGATGGAATTGGTCAACCAAGTGTGTTTGTATATGTGGATATGTGTGTGAGAGAGTGGGAAGCTGAAGAGATGGGTTAAAGGTGATGCAGGAATTTTGAGTCATCCTGTCAGGGAGGACCATGTACCAAAAGTTGGGAGTGAAACAAAAGTTAGGAGTGAAAGAAGCAAGATCCCGTGGAAGGTGTTTTGCTGTTGTGATTTTCAACTGGTATCAAGACACCTGTGCAGAAATGTCAGCTGCAACTGGAGATGTAAGACTGGAAGGCCAAAGAAGTCTGGATCAGAGCAATTTTCAGGATGTCCACAAGAGGTGATATCAATATTAAAGTCCAGGAATTCTTCTAGAGATTGAAATAAAGCTGCGGCCAAAGATGGAACCTAGGAGTCCATCTATTTTAGGAAACAATAACTGTTGCAGAGATAAGAAAATCAAGTACCAGTGTTGCAGAAATCAAGAAAATGAAGAATCATATGATAATAGTATCAGTGTGCCAAAAAGAGGAAAGAATGCATTAGACAGACGTCTTTTAAGATTGCAGTTTCAGTAGTGTGTTGACAAAAAAATCTGATTGCAGGGTGATAAGAGGTGGTCTACTCCAGGTAGCCAGGAAATGAGTTAAAATGGGAGATGATTTAAGAGGTTTGGGGGTACAGATGTGAAAAAAGGAATGGGAATTTGATGGTGAAATATAACTGAAAAAAAAAAAATGACAGACAAGAACATACATGAGGGGGAGCAAGAAATATGAGAGAAAAAGGCTATTAATGGATTCCAGAAGCAGCTGGAAGGAAAGAGAAATAAGACACAGACTGAAAGGGAGGAATACTTCCAACTGAGATGAGAGGATGGGTGAAAATACAGAAAGACTGAGGAGAGAGGATGAAACTGTGTGTGTGTGTTGCAGTGAAGGCTGCATATGAAATGATTCGAAACCACTCAGTAAAGGAGGGGCTTGGAATCTGCAAAAAAGAGGTTACAGACTTGAGAAAAACAATTATTTTTAGTAGAATGGCAGGACGTGCTAGGGATCTCAAATAACTCAGATACATAACAAGACAGGTGAGGGCACCATCCTCAGACAACTAGAATTAAAGATTTCATTACACGTTACAGACAGGCCTGTACAGTGGTTATTCACACATAAATTTGATCCAAGCTACACTACATTCCCTTCAGTAGCAAAATCACTGATTTGGATCTAAAAAGTGATTTCAGACGATAGCAAGAGGATTTCATCACAAATTCACTCTTTACATACACAGTAACTGCAGAGATTGCTCAACTTGTTTGGAACTGTGTGTAACTGTTTCCCAGCAATTACAAGTTAATGAGACAGATCACACAATTGGCACAACTTTAAAAAATGTTGTTTTAGGTGTAACTCACAGATGAGAGTTTGGAAAAACGAAAGACAACTGATACAACCGAGCTCTTCTTCAGGATAGTGACTAGGAATAAGGGAGGCCTTAACAGCAAAGGAAAACTAAAGGAAGAAAAAAAGTTTGAAGTGACTCAGTCTTTCTGGAAAAATCACTACCTAGTCTGAAAACCTAAATACTCCCAAACAGTAAAAGACTGCAAACGGCCACACAGTATAAACCCTACGTTTAGTGCTAATTAAGTCCAACTGATGTTGTATTCGGAGAAGTCAGTGGCACCCCAATCCAGTAATCTTGCCTGGAAAATCCCATCGACCGAGGAGCCTGGTAGGCTGAGGTCCATGGGGTCGCTAAGAGTCGGACACGACTAAGCGACTTCACTTTCCCTTTTCACTTTCATGCACAGGAGAAGGAAATGGCAACCCACTCCAGTGTTCTTGCTTGGAAAATCCCAAGGACGGGGGAGCCTGGTGGGCTGCCGTCTATGGGGTCGCACAGAGTCGGCCACGACTGAAGCGACTTAGCAGCAGCAGCAGCTGTTGTATTACTGTTTTCGTTTCTGCAAGAATCTTTTCTCTAAGAATTTTCATTCATCCACCCAGTAATCACCTGATATTTCGAAATACCACAGGTGAGAGACAATGGATCGGGGAAACGGTAACCTTCACATATGAGCTTCAGCAGCTGCATCCCTGAAAAGCAGAAATGAATTCTACGGCTTGCCCGGGGGACCGGTGGAAGCTGCGAGAGGCGGGATACAGGGAGTAGGCGAGAAAGTGGCAAACGGTGTGTCCCGTGACTCAGGCGTCCTCCGGAGGATGCCAACGCCGAACGTCCAGAACTGCACTAAAAACAAACCGCCCCCCGGCCCGGCCTCATTCTATCAGCTTCCTCCTTAAGAGGCACCCTCCTGGGAGGAAGGGTCTCACCCCAGACTTCACTCTGAGGAGATGAACTACTCACTGTCGATGTCCTCGATGAGGCTGGCGGTGCCGGGCATATAGTTCATTTTGAGTAGAGACAGAGCTGCAGTGTATAGCGGCGGTGGGCCAGCGCGTCCCACACCTCCTTCCTCCTTACCGCGGTCGCCGCCTCCGCGGGACCGGGACAGGAACCCGGACCCGGACCAACGCCGCCGCCCCGGCTTTCAGTAGCCGGGGCCTGCAGGAAACGCCGCCATGTCGCCCCACCCACTTCCGGCATCACGTGCCCGCCCTCAGGAAGAGGTGGGACCGTTCATGTGGTTGCCCCCGCCCCGGGATACCTTTTCCATATCCCTGACGAGAAGGGGAAGAGGAGTCTAGACTGCACGGACAGTGCGGAGGTGTGTTCTCCCTTTTAGGAACGCTCGTTCTCCTGCTTCCTAGACCCCAGAGTCACGGACACCGCCCTCGGCCTCTCAGGACGCGGAAGCGGAGGGGGGCGGGATCCGGCCTAGGATTGGCTGTTGCAGGCCGACCCCCTTTCCTTGCGGTCCATTCGCGCTCCCCCGCCGGCGCCTGCGCGGTGGGCCGGCCGTGGGGGGCGGGGGGGCGGGAAGCGCCTGGGGGCGGCAGAGCCCATGTCGGCCTTGAGGCGCTCGGGCTACGGCCCCAGTGACGGCCCGTCTTATGGCCGCTACTACGGGCCTGGGGGTGGGGATGTGCCGGTGCACCCGCCTCCGCCCATCTACCCCCCGCGCCCCGAGCCTCCCCAGCCTCCCATTTCCTGGCGGGGGCGCGGGGGCGGCCCGGCGGAGACCACCTGGCCGGGGGAAGGCGGAGGAGGCGATGGCTACTACGCGTCTGGAGGCGCCTGGTCAGAGCCGGGTCGTGCTGGCGGAGGCCACCAGGTGAGCTTTGCGCCGCCGGTCCCCGGGGTTGGGTGGGGGGGTCCGATAGGGGAGTCTTTGGGGGTGAGGGCCATTGGGATTGATAAAGCTCCCAAGAGTTCGTAATGAATTGGGTTTCGTGCGTTTTCCTATTACGGCTTTGGAGAGACGAGAGACCAGGATCGTGGGTGGGGGTATATGCTTGTGTTTTCTCTGCCCCTCCTGTTGTGCTTCTGCCGTAATACATGTCTTCTTACCAGGAAAAAAAAAAAAAAAAGATCTGCGCTGAACCTGCTAAGCTGAGTAGCAGGCTGTGAATCTCTCGTCTGGGGGACGAGATTGGGCTGGAGTGACCTGGCTTTGCTTTTCCAGTCCTAACAATTTATTCTGCGTGGTTCGTGGGGGCCGGCTCTCTCCGAGGAGGGAGTTGGCCGCAGCCCCCTCCCGCTGGGAAGGAACGCGAAGGAAAGGGAGGGACCTGGGCATTTAGCCCTTTGCCCCTAAAGCATTGCCCGGCATTGAATCACCGATCATTAGTGTTGGAAAGCACTTATCCGTGGGTTGTATATAATCTTAACGGTGACTGCGACGTAGATATCATCACAGCGTCCCTGTTTTACGATGGAAGAACTGCTGGCCGTGAAAGGTTAACTCACTTGCTCAATATATTCAGACCTCTGACATTTTATTTTGTGTCGTCGTGCCGGAAATAATACTTCTGTTTTGTTAATGCAGTATTCTTCGTAGAAGATTACGGTTCTATGGTGAGGGCATACCTCTTCTTGTCTTCAGGAATTATAACAGTCTCATTGGTTGAAATTTAATAATGAAATTCCCAGACATTACTGGTGGAAATGTGAAATGGTTCAGTGTTTTGGAAAACGGTTTGGCAGTTCGTAAAAACGTTAAGTGTTAGCAAGCTTGCTGCTAGATATATACCCAAGAGAACTGAAAACATGTCCACATAAGAACCTGTACACACATGTTCATAGCAACGTTATTTATAATAGCCAAAAAAGGGAAATATCCCAAATGCTCATCAACTGAGGAATTGATAAAAATAGTATATTCATACCCCTGGAGGGAATTGCAACCCACTCCAGTATCCTTGTTTGGAGAATCCCCATGGACAGAGGAGCCTGGCGGGTTACAGCCCATAGGATCGCAAAGAGTCAGACAGCACTGAACGAACGACTAAACACAGCGCAGCACAGTGTATTTATGCAATGAAATTGTTTAGCCATAGAAAGTAATGAAGTATTGTGAGACATTATGTAAATGGATGAACGTTGAACATATGCTACATGGATGAAGACGCAAAGACCAAATGGCTGTATGAATCCATTTTTTGGAGAAATCCAGGATATAGAAATCTGTAGAAAAATTTGTTTGCAGGGGCTGTGGACCTGGGGACATTGAGGAAGATAGATAAAGGGTATAGAGTTTCCTTTGGGGATGATGAAAATATTCTGGATTTAATGACGATAGCTGCACAGGTCTGAGTATATTAAAACCATGAATTGTACACTTTAAAAGGGTGAGTTTTATGGTATGTTATAGTTTTAAAAAAATTGTATGAGATAAAACATGTAGTGAGAGGTTAATTGTTAAGAACGGTCCATAATTTCTCTGTCTAAATCTGGAATAAGGAGCTGTGGGATTTTGGTCCCATGACGGAGTAGCGTGATGAAATACTTGGCCTGTAAGTAGGCAAACTAGACTGAGGCTCACTTGAAGGGATAGAGGGGAGGCCCGCTGAGCTGAAGACACTGCCTGGACTTGCTGTGCTATCAAAACAAAAATATGTTTTGTTTTTATTTTTGGTTAGGGTTAGAGAGGACTTCCTAAGTGCCTCAGCAGTAAAGAATTCGATCCCTGGGTTGGGAAAATACCCTGGAGAAGGAAATGGCAACCCACTCCAGTGTTCTTGCCTGGGAAATCCCATGGACAGAAGAGCCTAGCGGGCTACAGTCTGTGGGGTCATAAAAGAGTTGGACATGACTTTGTGACTTTTTTTTTTTTTAAAGGTTAGAGAAGTTAAGATCTCAGTGTCATGCAGGGAGTTGTAGGTTAAGGTGGAGAACAGGTGTGCACACAGGTGGGTGATGGTGCTGGAGGGGTGGAGGATAAAGCTGGAATGTGTGATGGGCATTTGTAAATCATTTCAAGAGTCTTTCAGGCAGATATTTCTGAAACTCAGTAAGTATCGGATGATAATTTCTTAGGCAGCAGTAGGAAACTCATAAAAAAGATAAACGTGATGTCCTACATACTGCAAACGTCTTTTCTAAATTTGTGGCTTGTCTTTTGACTTTTTTGTGGTTTTTGACATATGTTTTGCATTTTTATATAGTCAAACATGTCAGACTTTAAAAAGGTATAGAAACCCTTTAAAACCTTACTCTAAAACTGTGGGCCATGGACCAGAAGCTTCAACTTCGCTTGGGGGCTGTTAGAAGTGCAGACTGTTTCCTCCTCCATACTTACTGCTGCTGCAGATTAATAAGATCCTCAGGTGAAGCATATGCATATCACGTTTGAGAAGCATTGCACAACGGAATTGAATGGATTGAGATGAGGTTGCTCTGAACCATTACAAAGGCTTGACTCTATATTAATGTATTTAAATATGGCAGGAGAAAAATGGAGAACCTCTTACTGTTTTCTTTTCTTTTTTTACTTTGTTAGCTAGACTTGCAGCGCTGTAGTTTGATTCCTAAGCTTGCAGCACATACATCACCTAGGAGCTTGTTGGAAATGCTGTATCTCAGGCCCTGCCCAAAGCTTTTAACAAGACATCACTTTGCCAACAGAGGTTTGTCTAGTCAAAGTTGTGGTTTTTCAAGTAGTCACGTACCGAAGTGAGAGCTGAACCAAAAAGAAGGCTGAGCACTGAAGAATTGATGCTTTCGAACTGAAGTGCTGGAAAAGACTCTTGAGAGTCCCTTGGACAGCAAGGAGATCAAACCAGTCAATCCTAAAGGAAATCAACCCTGAATATTCACTGGAAGGACTGATGCTGAAGCTGACATTCCAATGCTTTGGCCACCTGATGCGAAGAGCCAACTCATTGGGAAAGACCATGATGCTGGGGAAATTTAAGGGCAAGAGAGAAGGGGGTGACAGAGGTTGAGATGGTTGGATGGTATCATCAATGGACATGAGTTAGAGCAAGCTCCGGGAGATAGTGAAGGACAGAGAAGCCTGGTGTGCTGCAGTCATGGGGTTGCGAAGAGTTGGACGTGGCTGTGACTGAACAACAACTGGGTGATTCACATGTTCCCCAAGTCCTCTGAGAGAGTGCTGAGATAGACGGAAGCTGGAAGCCGCAGCCTCTCATAACCTCATCTTGGTAGTGATACACCTTCATTTATGACATCCATTACTAGTCATGGAGACTGACCCCGGTACAGTGTGGGAGGCATCTTCACTCAGATGTGCATACAGAAGGCAGGGGTCATTGGCAGTCATCTTGCAGGATGGTTTCAGTGGGAGGGTTTGGGGAGACAGCTCAGGTTAGGCTCCCAAATTAGGTCAGAAAAGAAAATGGCATGTGTTTGAACAATGTCTGAATGTAGATAGGTTTTCTTCTCAACATTTTATTATAAATATTTTCAAACATAGAAAAGTTGAAATTGTACGTGAAGACTCACATACCCACTACCTAGATTTTGTTAGCATTTATTACATTGACCACGTCTATCCATCTTACTTTTTGGATATGTTTTATAATGAGTTACATAGATTCAAAAGACATTTTCAAAGGTGTGTATCAACTGGAAGTGAGGATTGCAGGAGAAACAGAAGGATTCTGAATTTTTAGTATTTCCTAGGATTAACAAGGAAGAACAGATTTTTATGGGAAGATGTGGTTTAGTTTTGTACCAAAGAACTAGGGATCATTTCTTTTCAAAAAACGATGTTGATTTGTTTGGCTGCATCAGGTCTTAGTTGGGGCATGTGAGATCTTTGTTGCATCGTGTGGGATTGTTTGTTGCGGTGTGGATGTGAGATCTTAATTCCACAGCCCGGATGGGACCCCTTCTCCTGCATTACAAGGTGGATTCTTAACCACTGGACCACCAGGGAAGTCTCACCTTTATTTCATTTCTGCCGGAAGCCAGTTTGTGATGGTGGTTACCAAGCTCTGGATGCAGTGTATGCGACTGGTGAATGAGATGCCTAAGATTTTGTTTTTGTTTTCCGATATCCAGTTTTACAGTCTGTGGCATTGAGGAGTTGTCTGTGGGAACAAAGCAATACATGTGGGACTCAGCACGGAGTCAGGGGATGGAGACAGTGATTGGAGAGTCACTACATGGAAGCATGGGTGAATTACCTGATTGGGTTATGCTGCCGGGGGAGAGCTTTGAGATCTAGGAGGGTAACAGAGAGAGAAAACCCAGAAGACAATGAGTGAGAATACTTGGATAGGAGGAAAAGCAGGATGTCATGTAATATAGACCACCGCTACTTTGCAGGTTAGTGATATGAGAACTGAAGAGAAGCATTTGGATTGGCAGTTAAAGTATTGCTGGTTCTAGTGGTGGGACTTTAAAATAGTATTAAAGTAATGATTGGGGGATTTGGGAAGACAACTAATGTAAACTGTTAGTAAATGAGAAAATGGCCACTTGACTGGGAACCAGGGTTGAGGGAAGCATTTTTAGGATTCAGTGGCTTGAGAATGTTTGTCAGCAGAGGAGAGAGAAAGCTAGTAGATTGTGAAAAAAAGATACTAACAGAAGGATGGAATGTGTCTTGGGGAGAGGTGGAGTAAGAAGTGAGGAAGACCCGAGAAACCTCCTCAGAGCTAGAGAAGGGGAAATGAAGCTGTTGGGAGGGGAGGGCATTGCAGGAGTTTCAGCTCTTGGTTGATGAAGCAGGAGGCCATCTGAGGGTTAAGGAAGTGGGATGGGGTAGCTGGGAACTTGATATGGTGATATTTGAAGCAGGTGCTAGGGAAAAGGAAGGCTGTGTAGGGAAGCACAGCAGAGACCCACGTGACAGTAAAGCTGAGA